GGCCCCTCGCTATGCTCATGAGCATAGCGACTCGATCATTATACTTACATACGACTTTTGTCGGCTTGCGCACGTGGCAGACAGTCGCGGTTGCTGCTGGCTCTTTACAGAGGAAACTAGAAGATCACTCCCCTCTGTCTACGAGCACAGAACTGTGTTCTCTTCCTTTGCCTCTATTCCATCATTTCCCGCGAAAGCATCATTTGCCGCCGAAACGTCATTTCCCGCCAAAACATCACTTCCCGCCAAAAAAAACTCTTGCCCTCAGATGCATCACAACTAACTCCATGCCGACGTAACCCCCTCCATCCGGCATATCCCGTAGAAGACGTATCAGAACGGATGCTTTCATCGACTGGTCGATTGATTGAATAATTGATTGACTGATTGCTTGATTGATTGCTCGCTCGTTTGATTGATTGACTGATTGATTGATTGATTGATTAATCAATCTAAGGGACTCTCGGCGGGTGATCGCTCGTCTCATCCGGTCGCTCAACAATTACCTACTGTTGGCGTCAACACGTTTAGAGGGATGAAAAAAAAAGAGAGGCGATAGGTCTCTCCGGTCTCAACAGCAGCGCTCTTTTATTACACTAATACCCCCTTGTATGAGAGCATCGCTCCCCTGCGTTGCCAGTGCAGCTTTCATCTCGCCTTGCCCTTCAAGACAATGAACGATTCAGCACGAAATTGCCAGCTACTTCGCTTCCACCCCCTCCTCTCCCCCTCCTCCCCCCCTTGTCCCCCCGAAAACTGACGTGGAAGGAGCAGCCTCGTTAACCACACACGCACGCCATGACCGCATACTCCATTGGCGATGGGCGAATCTATGGGGAAGAGAGAGAGAGAGAGAGAGAGAGAGAGAGAGAGTTTCTGGACCTGAATTGATGGAAGATAATCAGTAGCGGAGGAAACAAATGGATCAGCGAGAAGGGGGGGGCTGTTATCGACCAGCGAGGATGGGGGGGTTGATGGGGGTGTATCGACCCCGCCGTTGACTTCAAGGGGTCGATCTCCCGCCTTTGCGATCGTTATTCCACAACAACAACAGCCACCACCACCACCATTACGCGCCAAAACGAGATTCGAAAGCAGGCGTTCCGCTGATGATGCTCCGCGACAAAAAAGCACATCACAGCTCCCTCGTATAGCGCGTAAACCCGCATTCACGACTGGGCCAAACACGAGACCGAACGACATCCAAGCGTTCTGCATAGATATCCGATGTCCTCGTTCTCATCGACATCGACATTGCCGATGACGATGATGCTACGCTACAACAAAGAAGCGCACACTTCTTAGCATTGAGGGAAAAACATCGATCCGCTGGAGACTAGAAATTACTGAAGAAGTAAATGACCCAAAGCTGAGATCGATTTCCTCACCATCATCGATTCCCCCACGCTTCCCCACGCATCAAACCAATCTTACTCCTCTTGCCATTCGTTTCTACCAGCCCCGCATCACGTCAGCATACGCTTACTCATCACTGCCCTCATCATCATCATCATCATCATCGGCATGACCGGGAGGACCCACAACTGCATCGATTTCCTCGTTCCCATCGCCATCTCCATCGCCTCCATCGCTCCATCACCATCGACCTCGCTGCCATCGTTCATCTGGAGTTTTAATCCGCTCCTCAAAATCTCTGGCCCATCCTGTCCATACGACGAAGGGCTTAGACATTAATTAGGTGCACCCATCATCATCCTTATTGTCATCATCGTCATCATCATCATCATCATCATCATCATTATCGTCATCGTCGAGGGAACGCCAGTTGGACCATCATCATCACACCTTCCGCCCTCAAGGACCCACCCCCCGATTACAGGGCACCTTCCGTATCCACCTATCAAAATCCTTCTTCCTCTTCGTCCCTCATCGTCATCTTAGCCCACCCCCTCAAATCCCTCCCTCCTCACTCTCGTCTTTTACCCACCCACCTTCTGTTGCTCGAATTGACCCCCTCATCGTTCTTTAAACGCACCGTCATCGCTGACCTACCCCCGTTATCAGCAAGCCATCTCCTCTTCCTCGAAATTGCCCACCACCCCATCACTGACCTACACCCCCGTTAACAGCAAACCACGTCTTCCTCGACATTGCCCCCCTCATCGTTTTCAAAACGCACCGCTATCGCTGACCTACCATTTCATCAACCACCTCAGCAACGCAGCATTTTTCAAAATTGCCCCCCCTCATCGTTTTTCAAACGCAGCGCCATGGCCGACCTACTGCCCCTGTCGTCAGCAACAACCGCAATCAAAGGAAGACGCGATTACCTGCATGCAATCCAACCCCTCACCAACGAGTTACGCGGCCGTTCGGCGCAAGGATGATATATCCTACAACAGCATAGCATCTCGACCCCTCCTAACTTTGGGGGGGAGAGCGGGGGGGAGAGCGGGGGGGAGAGGGCCATACGGATGATATATCCTACAAAACGCGGAAGAGCGAGGTGACAGCAAATTTCACAAAGACAACAACGCTCCCAGGCCCCCCCCGTTAGCTTTGCTAACCACTCTCTCCCCTTTGGCCCTTCTTAACCCCTCTCTCCCCTTTGCCTCACCCCCCCCCCCCTTCTTCGCTCCTTTCTCTGCCAGTCCTAATTCCCTCCTCCGCTTGAAGGTCGAGCTACCTCTCTCTCTCTCTCGAGGGGACGCGGAAGAGCGAGGTGAAAGCAAATTTCACAAAGACAGCAACAGAGTGAGGGTGACAAAATTACACCGTACTCACACTAGCAATTCACTCAATTAATCTGAGAACGTGATTGCAGCCAAGTTCGGTCGAAAATCTATGGTGTGAATATGCCCTTTCCCTTCCTTAGAGACTCGGTCCTCAAATTGACAAAGATTCTCTTCGCATCGCTGCTCTCCCCCTCCCCACCTAATCATCGTACCATCTCGGACTCGATCACCTGGCGCAAACTAAACGCCAATCAACTAAACGCCAATCAACGAAACGCGCACGCATACCCCTCGACGACGACAGGACAACGACAAAACACAAAGGAAGAAGATTCTCTCCACCCTCTTCCTCCTCTTTCGCCCGCTCCCAGCCACCTTCACTCTTCGTCTAGCGACCACAAACACCACTATCATCCTTCCCTCGAAAACTCCAAGAGTCATCGCAACGACGACGATCATCATCCCCACAATCAACCACCTCCCCGATCTGCCATCAACAACTACCCTCCCACCCACGTGATGCACAAGAAGATGCCAATTTCAGCAGCTCCCCCCCCCCCTCTGCCTTTCCTGTCCCCTCCCCCTCTTCCT